AGTAAAATGTACACTTTTTAAAATTTTTTTCTTAATTTTTGAACTACAGATCTCTGACTTGTAACACCTTATATTTCTATATAAAGAAATACTAATCAAACTTTACACAGAACTTAAGACTAAAGTGAAACATAATTATATCCTACAATTGTCTTTGCATTTCTGTTTCTGAAAGCCATCCGTGATTATTTAAATTAGTTTAATCATTAATTTGCCTTTTACTCCTTGTTCTAGTTATTTTACATTTTTTGGGGGGGGATCACAGCTAAATATTTTTGCATTTTATATTTTTCTTGTAAATAATGGATGAGTAATTTTGCTTGATTCCTTGGAAAAATATTAAAAACACACTACTTTCAACTTTCAATGCTCAGATTTTTAGGAAGTTAATTGTGGGCCAAATGACTTTAGGCCTAAAGGTGTAAACCCTAAGACATAATTATGCAAAAGAACCTTTCATAGTTTATGCATAGTTTTCATTGATTTGGAAATTTATAATATCCATTTAAAAGTATTTTAACAACAAAATTAATAATGTCGTCTAAGTGACGCTTTCTTTTTAAAATTAATAATCTCACAAAGAGATTAAGTATGTGATGCCTTAATCAAAGAGAAGCTGATACTCCTTTAGACAAAAAGCTATACATTGCAAATATCTTATTTGATGTATTAGAGCACTATTGCATATTTTCAGACATTTAAATTTTAAAAGCTTCCTGGAAAACCAGTAGGAATTTCTTTCAATAAATGCCATTGATAAGAGGAGAAATAATTACACTTATCACATATTTTAATTTTGTTTTGCTTTCTTAACTTTTCTAACCTAAGGAAATGCTAAAATCACCTAGATTTTTTTTTTTTCCTCTTAAGTCACATGACTTTAAAGAATTAAGTCCAAAGGTTAGACATTTCATTGCTCATTGTGTATATACAGCAGTAGTTAGCTGACTCTGCAGTTTATGTCATTAATTTGGCATGGTATCTTTGCAGAATGTGTCCCAGATGTTATATGAAGTTCTGAGCATGTATGAAAAATGTGTACACATGCATTTGTGTGTGTGTGTGTGTGTGTGCGCGCACTGAGGTGGGGGAGCAATCAGACAATAGTTTTCATGACTAATAAAAGCTACTATTTAGACAACATTAATATTTACTATTTTTATAAAAATTTAAATGGTTTTAGTGAGCATTTTTAAAATGTGTACTGCCTTATGGCATTTAATTTTGTCAGCTGATGACATAAATTTTCTGGATGATGATCAAGTACATGTTGATGCAGCTGTTGCCATAGTAAGCCATGCAGAGGCATCTACTCCAGTTCCAAATAGTTGAGAGTGGATTTTTCCTTATACGAATACCAAAGGCCTAAGACTCATCATAATGAGTATATAAAATCTAAATTGCCAAGGAAAAGAAAAATCTCATTACAACTCTGTAAAAATTTGGAGAAGGAAGAGGGCAATTTTCAAATATACAAATAAATAGTGAACTCACACACTGAAAGACACAGTTCTGAAAATGAATAGTGCTTTAGAAAGTTCAGGGATTGTGCTCCACATGAACAAAATCTTTATTGGAAAAATACATGTGTACATAATTTAATTCACTAATAAAGTCCCCATTGTACTTGGAAGATTTATTTTTTTCTGTGGGTCACTTTTATTCGTTTTGTACCTATACATTACAGGCTTCTGACCAAAGCTGGGGAACTTTTTAAGTTGCAGCATGGTTAGAAATTGTTTCTTTGTTGATGGAGCCATATTAATGATTCAATAATAAATGTTAAAGATGATTCTGAATATCTATTACCTCTATAGGCAGTTTCTGAATGCGAACTCTTAATACATTTGACTGTAACCTAAGAATTGAAGGTTTGAGTCCACCCAGAGAAATCACAGAAGAAAGCCCTAGTGATCTATTTCCAAAAAATCAGTCATTGAAAAGCCAAGAAACACAGTCCTACTCTGACATACATGGGGTCATCATGAGTTAGAATCAACACAACAGAACTTGGTTATTTGATTAGATCTGTTACATTAGCTATTCTAATTTATAGAGAGGGCTAAATTCACTTCCATCAAGTCTGAATTGACTCATAGAGACCCCTCCTTGGGTTTCCAAGGTGGTATCAGTACAGAAGTAGATTGCCCAACCTTCCTTCTCAGGAGTGGCTGGTGGGTTTGAACTACCAGCCTTCTGGTTAGCAGTCAAATGCCTTAGGCACTAGATGATGAAAAAGAGAGAGAGAGAGAGAGAGAGAGAGAGAGAGAGAGAGGGAGAGAAAGCCCTGGTGGTATAATGGATACGTGCTAGGGTGCTAAGGAAAGGTTAACAGTCTGAACCCACCCAGATACTCCATGAGAGAAAGACCAGACAATCTGCTTCCATAAAGATTACAGCCTAATGAATGGGGTAAATTCTAAGGAGCAGTTTTCTTCTACCACATGGGGTCTCTCTGCGTCCGAATCATTTCAGAGGCACCTAACAAGACAATAATAACTGATGCCCTGCAATTTATGTTTACTTCTGTCTTTCAACAGAAAAACAAACAAAATAACTTGTGATTTAAAGGGTAAGATGCACATGCACCTCACTCTTACACTTATGTTTCTTCAAGATGCCACTGACAATTACCATAAAATCTACAATCTACATTGTAAACACACAGTAAGATCTTCATATCCCCTTCCTTTTAAAGGACGTTGTTGTTATGTGTCAAGTGGGCCCCGACTCATAGCAATCCCTCCTTGGGTCCTTGACGGTACACAACACACACACAACACATCACTATGGAAGTAGATTGTCCATCCTTCCTTCCAAGGAGTGACTGATGTGTTTGAACCACCAGCCTTCTGGTTAGTGGTCAAATGCCTTAGGAACTATGATAGCAGAGCTCCTTTTTAAAGGATAGGTACATTTAAAACTTGCTTGAATTTAAAAAGTTACAGTATCTTTCCTTTTTGATAGTGTTTATATAAATGTTACCTAAAAAAGTAACATACTTTATTTTCTGTCTATGGAATCACATTACTTTTTTAAATTTTTCTTACAAGTTTTTATGTAATACTTATCTATATTGATTACACATATAAGTCTGTAGCTTTAAAAACTCATGTTGGAGATTAATTATGGGAAAATGAAACAGAAGCTTAAAAAAAACTAAAGAAAGTAAACAAACAAGATAGTTCACTATGTTGTAGTCTGACTCTATCATTCTCCAAGCAGCTTTGAACTTTAACCCAATTCCAACCCATTTCTGATGTACTCAATCAAAATTGGATTCCTCTGCATTTCTCATTAATCACTGAATTTTCCCTATGAACTTAGCTTCCCTCAACCAAAGAAATTACAAACTGCTTCTAAATCCATTGCCAGCACTCAGCTCTGTTACAAATTCTGTGCATTTTAATTTATTAAAAATATATAGTATGTTTATATCTTCATACTTATAAAATGAATGGGAAATTAACAAATTTCTTAAAACCAAATTATATCTTAAACATTCTCAAAGAACATGAAGACCTGGAAATACAGCCCCATCTCAACAGATGCTGCAACTGAGCATAGTGGAGGCAGCCAAAAAATAAAACAGGGTTTCTCTCTTCTTCCTCTCTGTATATCTCATTTCTGCTAAGACCCTCTTGCATTTTTCTATTTCTGCTTACCACTCTTCTGTCCTGTCATTGATTTTCATGTGGTTACATCCTAGGACTGCAATTCAATTGTCAGTCTGTCATATTGTAGTGGCTTGCACATTGCTATGAAGCTGGAAACTATGATATGACAAAGGGTCATCCTGTGAGGTAGACAAGTTTCAGTGGAGCTTCTAGACAAACACAGACTAGGAAGAAAGGCCTAGTTATTTACTCTGAAAAATAACTAATGAAAAACTCATGGACCACAATAGAATATTGTCCAGTACGGTGCTGGAAGATATGCCTTCTACGTTAGAAGACACTCAAGATACACAGGGGTCACAACAGTGGACTTGAGCATAACGATTGTGAAGATGGCCCAGGACCAGGCAACTTTCTGTTTTATTGTACATAGGGCTGTGATGTGCTAAAGTCAATTTGACAACAACTAACAAAAACAACAAAAAATCATCATGAGAACTTCAAAATAAGGTATTGAACAGCTTAATCGCATGCTCTTTCAACTCAGGTACTCATGTTTGGTATTCCATTTCTAAACTCACAAGAGAAAATTGGGTTTGTGGATCTTGGGTCTGTTTGCTATCTTCAGTGGCCTGTAACTAGGATATCCTGATATGAAGAAATAATGGTTCAGACTATGAGCATTGCAGTTTCTACAACAAAGAGTCAGAACAAGGAGAAGATTATGGGCATCACAAATACACTTGCACTTATAGAAATAATATGATACATAATAGAAAATAGTGGAAAACTGCAAACCTCTTTTTGTTCTGAATGCATTCTCTCAGGGATTTTGAAATGATGTTCTGCAAAGTGCTATGGGGGTGCTTCAGGGTCCCAAAGGAAAGTCAGATGTTGAAGGGGAGGTCAAATAGGTCAATTGATAGGTCCAACTTCCCATGCAGATCAAAGACTTAATTTTATGTTTTACATAGTCTGTTAAAATTCTACATGAAATGTTCTTGGAATAAAAAGTTACGTTTCTTTGAAAAAAAAAAAAAAAAGACTTGAAAACTATTAAAGGAAACAGTAAATGATTCCCATACTTGGCTGAGATCAAAAGAGGGCTGCTTTGGATCACTGAGTATTAATGAAAAGGTTAATATCAAGCTTGCATGCTAATTCCTCTTATCTCAATTGCATTGTACACTTCACAAGTTTGATACACGCTAACAATCATTACCTGATACTAACAAGATGTGACAATATAATGATGGTCCTGATCAAACAAGGTACTATATTCCTATTATTGTAACTGGTTAAAGAATGTTTAAGTAATTCATAATGAGCTTTAACAACACATGCAAACTTTAATAGAAAGAATTTGCAGGATTTATTAAGTACCCTCGTGCTGGAACACCCATGTGTTTTGCAGACTTAACGACCTCCTCAAATTTATCCATGCTTTCTTCAATGGAACAGTTAATATTCTTCTTGCTAAAAGACTCAGATGCAGCACCAAACACTGAAATCTCAGTGGCTCCAGCAGCAACCTAAAAAATACAATTTTAAGACAAAAACTAATAATTTTAAAAATGTAAATGATATTTGTATTTAACATTTGCCTTAGGACTTAAAATTAGATTCTCCTCATCTTCCCACATGCACTCTTTCGAATTGTAAAATGTTATATAATCATAGAATGATTCCACAAGCTTCAACACTCATAAATCTATGAGGCACAGAAAATACATTGATGCTGTTCCAATTTAATTTTGCCTTTCCTAAATTACATGTTAACTTCAGAAATACTTGAACTCTAATTATGGAAAATACTAGGCACCACAATAAAACCTCTTGAAATCCAAGAAAAATATTATTTTCAAACCAATTATTAAAACAGAGGATATAAGTTCTTTCTGTTTTTCTTCCCTTGCCACAATCCAACAATTTTTTTACCCAATTTATCATTAACATGTTCCCCAATATATTCTTCCTATATCTTAATCTAGTTTATGTTCATTCATACTTTAACTGCTACAGTCATATTCCTGTGTGTCTCCCTCTTTAATCTCCTTAGCTGTCTTTAAATCCAAATATGAACCTAATCAACTTCCTATTTCGTCCCTTTTACCATTCTAACTCCTCCTCCAATATTTTCCAGTGTTTTTTTGTTATGTTTTGTTATTTTGTTTTTTAATGTCAAATTTTTTTAGTTTTCCAGTTGCAGTTTTAAGACTCTCTGTTAATTTGACTCTAAAACTCTGCCTGATGTTCTATTACTAAACTAAAGGAAAAACATTCCATCATCTTTCCTCCAACTTTTTTTTTTAAATATTGGCTTTTTCTTCTCTATCCAAAATAAATTTTCAACCTCTAAAACAAACAAACAAACAAAAATTAATTATTATTCAACATCTACTGTATGCTAGTACTATTGTTAGGACTTCGCATGTTTTATTTCTAATCTACAAACAACCTTGTAAGCCAAATATTATTATGCTGATTTTAGTGATCAGAAAACTGTGGCAGATAGAAGTTAAATAGGTAGCACCACACCACATGGCTAATAAAAGTTCTAGTGCCATGCTTTAAACACAGGCACACCTGATCCCAAGCCAAGGTTTGTTCCACTCTACCGCTTGCCTTTCTAAATTATTCTGAAGGTGTCTTCTCAGCTATTACCTTTTTCTAGGTGGAAACATTCCCCATTATGTTGGGGTTGGATGACAACAAGACTTATTTTTTTTTATTATTTTTTTTTATTAGGATTTGGGTGAAGATTTACAGAGTAAATTCACTTTTCATACAGCAGTTCACATATACTTTGTCTCATGTCATTGACCAAAATTTA